TTATAAGTACTCGGCAAGTACCAGTACTCGTACTCGCAAAACTGGTATCTGTGCATCCCTTTATTTATATTTATAAAAACAAAATCATACATTAAAACAGAGATGTACAAATCCCAGGAGCTCCGTGTGCTCCTTACAAATGACAGCTGCCTCCTAATTTTTAAATTTCTCTAGTGTAGTCTTGGAGCTACTGTACTTGGTATCTGTGCAACCCTAATATTTGTGTATGCGGTGTGAATGGGCACGTGACATAAGGGGGATATAGCAGAATTTCAGACAAACCGCTAAATTCACATACATACATACATACATACATACATACATACAGTTTTACCTGCCAAAAGGATATGTATACCTGGGCATCCAGTCCTGAGATTTACGCTATGTCACAAAGCCCAGCCCTTGCCTGCCAGGGAAGGGGACTCTGCTACACTTTCACTTACAGCACCCTTTTTGACATAATGTGAAAGGAGAAGCAGCACACAGATCAGATCGGACAACTCGCTCCTGGTACTAATTCAAACTCAGGTTAATCCCTTAACTGACAATTCCCATATATGTCACAAAAATCACTCATTGTCAAAGCCTTATAACTGGTTAAAAGAAACCTGACTGCCGTACATAATACACTGTTAAGATACATTCACAAATTGTATCAGTCTTTCCACATAGGCAGTCTTGGACTATTTTTGCAAAAAAAGTGCAAGAATAAAAATTAAGGTGATACTGCAGAATAGAAAACCTAAATTTACAACAAAATTGGAGACCCCAAAATGTTGCATGGAAATTAAAATGTACATACCAGCTTTGCCGATCTGTACTGCCAATTTAGTAAGTTTGCCTTGCAAAACAGATTTTTCTTTCTTTGTCATATGTGATTTCTTTTTGTCTTCTCCATCTCCACCATCTTCACTCTTAAGGGGCTGCATTTCCATGGCTGCACCATCCTGAGCTTTAGCTGCCGATGAAACAATAATAAATAATAATTACAATAATAATAACATATCCACAAGATTACACTAAGACAGCAGTGTTCAACTGTTTAAGACTGGTTCCTAAAGGGTTAGTGCTTCAAATATTTTGTTGTTTTTTTCCAGATGCAGCTCATCACAATGCATGGTACTGCATTACCATTGTTGTGGTACACCGCAACACGAGAGAGTCTGAGGTCTGTTACCTTACGATATCACCGCAACATGTTAAGGTGTCCCAATTTGATTTCTGGGGAACTGCGTTACCGCAATGTAAATTTTTGAAGGGGCCCAAAAGGCAATGATGGTCTTCACTATGGGGGTCAACAATGGGAGGATGGCTACGCTGTACAGCAGTCCTAATCCTTAGGCACATGAATGAAAAATCAGTGTGCTGGTGGAATTTATGTAGAAAGGTGTAGTTATTACATGCATGCTTGTTTTCTATTGAATCTAAACAGAACTTTTTCTTTAAGATCATCTGTATTATGCAACTTAAAGCAGATGCCTATTCAAATCACTGTTAAAGAATAAATACCTTTGTTTCGATTTTCAACTGCGCCATCTTGTTTTTTGTCTGAAAACAAACATACACAAGTTAAGCTTACTAAATAAATTAGTTAGGATACAGATATCTATGAAAAGTGAAGAGTAATTAATCAAAGCTTCTAAATATATGTTTCATCAGTAACTATACAAGATCCAAAAATCCAGGTAGTAAAACAATCATAATAAAAAGCAGTTTACAGTGTCCAGTAATTAACTATTTGCAAGACGGAAGGGGTTTGTTTTATTTCTAATTGCAGAAGAAAAAACTCTTCTGTAATAAAAGCTTACCTTCCTGTTAGCAACACTTCAGAATGTACACTGACCTGCACACGTGCGCAGCTCAGTGCACAATCCTGGAATCTGCCAGGTGTCCGCAGCAAAGTCACCTCGGGCCAACCAATCAAGATGGTCAAAGACCCGTACCTAAAATAAGAGTGGAGCAACATGTCGGCACCAGCGAGGAACGTTTCTGGAGGAGAGGCGAGAATCTGTGGACTTTAGTTCTGCTTTAACATAAAAGCACACACTAGAAAATGTGAAACAGGAGACAAAACTATCTGCTAACTGAAAAGAGCACAACATTATACAAAATAAACTTTGTTTAGATTCATCCATAACAGAAAGAAAATATGCACAAAGCAGCTGTGCATTTCCCTATAAACACTGCTGATCTCCACCCATCTACTTTGCAAAAAAAACTTTGTGGGATAAAACTTGGGGCCCCATTCACACAAGCAGCTGTGTGATCCTAAAACATTGCACGGTTTTGCTTTTTTTGCAATGCATCGAATAGAAACTAAACAACCTGCTTCCTGACAAGAGAAACTTCCAAGATTTGACTTATTCAGCATGAATCTCTGTTTTATCAGCGAGAGAAACTTCCAGAGTGTATCATCACTTGGCATGAATCAACTAGCCGCTCTTGATAGTAGAATCTCACCGAAGAAACAAAACAAAACCAAAATAAAAAAGCAGAAGAGAAGACTACATCCATTCTACCAAGGACACTAAGCAAAACTGGCATGTGTGAGAGGTTATGATCTTAAAGTGGCAGGCTTTAAATGTTTCGCCTAGTGTCCACTTCTCATGAAGGCAGCAGCATAACCCTACATCTCAGAATTCTTGATGTCCCTCAATAGACAAATGAGAAAGCAACCTTAATGCATTTTGCATACTGGGTGCTTATTCACATTGCATGTTAAAGCGGACCTGTACCCCCTTTCACATAAAATCACATCTGCATACAGCTCTACATGCGGAGGCATTTTCTTCCCCTGAGATGATGTGCACGGTCACACGTCCTAGTCACATGTGCCAGAGTTCCAGGAGGAAAAGTTGCATTAATCTGCCCTTAGTAAAAATGGCTACGGTGAGAAGAACGGGAAGGAAAAAAAAGAAAAAGGCTGCAATTATCCACAAGTTTCTCCTAGTAGATAGTCATTACTAAACATTTTTAAATGTGACTTTGAAGATAAGAGTAAAGTTTTTTTTTTGCTATTGTGTGCATGTAGTGCCTTCAATAGTGGTTTTAATAAACCTTTTTTAATTATACGTATCATGGACTCCTCTCTGATGTAACTGTGCTTTAGAAGGACCAGGTAAGGTCTGGGTACCATGGCATGCCTAACTAAGTGGACTTTTTGATCTCCCTTGCAGTAGCAGGAACGGATTTACAGAAAACTGCTTCTGCTAGAGGGGTAAATGTGGGTAATCAAGTTATTAGATTACAGGTCATTTGCATGGGGTGTTAATTTTTTTCTTGCTCAGTTTTCCAGGGCAGCTTGTTTAAAACAAATGTAGGCAGTCAAAACAAGCATATAGTAATAAGATGTGCAACAGTTTCATGTTACCAGTTCTGAAGATAACCACTATAAAACCACTCTGTAAATCTTTTTCTCCATTTAACAAAATGACATTTGTGGCAACTTTGTTATCGATTTAATCATTTTAATAGAAAATACTAAATCACAATCATTCTTAATATGATCTACAGTTAAGAATATAACGCAGAGCAGGCATCTGTCATGTAATGCTCTCAATTTTAAGTCACTTATCACCATGGCAACATTCTACGGCCAAAAGGACACTCTGTAGGACATAAAAATCCAATGTCAACATTCCTCGTGTGCTACTAACAGGAGACCTTTCATGGGAAATTACATTTGCATGGGTTGCATGCATCTGAAGCAGAGTTGTTTTCTTCTTGGTACCTACCATGTATTAAAACAGCCATGACATTATAAGTTCTCTTACATGTACATTTCCAATTTTCAAAAGCGGAACGGGACGTTTGTTTTTGTGTACAATTCTTTGATTTCAAACATTTAACTATTTCATTTTTAAACATAGAAACAAAAACATTTACATCTAAATAAAATGAAAGCTGCATTGCATTTAAAAGTGCTACGTAGTAGAAGTGGACAAGGCTTTTAACGGAAATGTTGACAGGCTCACGGCACTAAATCTTTCTCCCAGCAGACTTGTGTCACCTCCTTGGAGAGAGAAAATGAAGGAGAGCTAGGCATATATAGTAATGTCTCTTCAGCCTACCCCTGTTACACATCACAGCCAGCAGTCCTGTTAGGCCCCGTTCACATTGAGCGATTTAATCGCGCGGTAATTAATGCGATATCACGGCAATTTACAGCGCGATATCGCTCTCCAATGCTTCTCAATGGGGCAAAGGGTCCTGCTGTCGCGGGTCTTGTGTCGCTACAGCAGGACCCTTTTTGGAGCGGATTTAGCCGCTATTCAAGCTTGCTCAATGCAAGCATTTGCGTGATATCGCGAAAAATGCAAATCGTGCGACAAACGCGCGATTTGCGAACTGCTCAATGTGAACGGGGCCTTATGCTGTGTGAGTGTATCTAGGCATAAATTAGTAGCCCTGTACTATGGATCATTTAACCCATTCATGTTAGCAGAGGATCATTGTAAATGTATTGTTGCAGGCACTCTATATGTACATGTACTATATACTACATAGAGTGCACTGAACAATAGATTTACAATTATCCTCTGCTAATATGAATGGGTTAAATGATCCGTAGTACATGATATGTAGCCCTGTACCCCCTTTTCCACTTACAGAGCTAGGTTATTTTTCTTTTAAATAAATATTAATGTAATTTTATTGGTATCTACCAGTAGCTGCCTCGTTTCCCACCCTCGGCTTATATTCGAGTCAATACTTTTTCCCAGTTTTTTGTGGTAAAATTAGGTACCTCGGCTTATATTCGGGACGGCTTATACTCGAGTATATACGGTAAGTTACTTAGCTTTAGCAAAAGAAATATTACGGCAACTTATTAGGTCAACCACCATCATAACTGAGAATAATGAGCAACACTGGAATTAAAATCAGGAGAAATATATGATGTCGGATCAGTGGAATCATAAATACAATATGAATTGTTGCAGAATATTTGCCCACTCCAATGAAAACACACTTTTCTTTTCTTTCTTTTCTTTCTCTTTCTCTTCTTCACTTTCCCCAGCTCCAAGTAAAGTGAAAATAATTCCAGTTTGGGAATTTACTCCAATTGCAGTGACAACCATTTTTCCAGAGCCTTCCATAACGTGTGTTCCTGTACAAATGATGTAAACATTACATTAAAACATGTAAACATTAATAGCTACATTTAACTGCGACATTTACTCTATATAAACTTATCTCTACGGGAAATCGTCAAAATTGAAGGAACAGAACATCACAGTATTTGGGCATAACGACTTCTAACTGAATATCAGGCGGTGATCTGTGCACGGATTCCGTGCTGATCGTAGCAGAACGAAACAGATGTCACTCTTGTGACCTGTGTCCATTCAGTTTTTTGAGCTCTATGATCCCATGTTGGTCTATGAGGAGTCAGATGTACATGGACTAGAGTTGCACAGAAATGACGATTTTAAAAGCAAAACAAAAACGTTGGGCCGAAAACAAAAACATTTTTTTCAACATTTAAAAATATTTTTTTTAAATAAACTTTTACATTTTTTATGTTTTATTTCTATTAAATATTTTTATTTTTTACTTTAAAAAAAAAAGGTGCTTCATGGAAATATTAGGGGTCTAAACATTCCTGATATTTCCCTTTTAAAATGGAAAGATTGAGGACACAGAGTCCCCAATCTCTTTTTCTGCACCCCCTGTTATAAATGAACAGGAATCCTCTATACTGCGTGTTCCTATTCACTCACAACATGAGAACATAATTTGTTTACTATATCCACAATCATGAATGAACAGGAGGTGATGTAGATCACTTCCCATTCATTCTTAATTGGAGCATATAGTAAACATGCTATGCCCTCAATTATTTACAAACACTCAGAGATCACCGAGTGTTTGTACTCACTCTCCCTTCTGACACGCTGTCACAGGAGGCTGAGCCAGCGATAATACAGATCGATCTGACAGCTGACTCCTCCCCCACACCGCCGGCCTCCTGTGACAGTGCTGGCCGTCTCCGCCCCACAGCCCCTCACCTGATCTGTGACAGGAGGCTGAGCAAGGAGGCTGAGCAGTGCGGGGGAGAAGAGACGTCGGCCGCTCACAGCCGCCTGTGCGAGTTTCACAGAAGTGCCCAGCGGGGAGGAGAGACAGCAGAGATGGACCGCTAGATCGACAGAAAAATTGCACTTTTGGCATTTTGCCAAAAGTGCCATTTTCTGCCGACATGTTTTGTTGGCCGATATATCGGTGCATCCCTAATATGGACATGTGTCCGTTTACATTCCATTACCTCCACCCTAATATGGACATGTGTCCGTTTACATTCCATTACCTCCAATCAGTCACAAATGGGTCCAACAAAACGGGACTCTTTCTGGACTTTGTTTCCTTTTCTGGACCTAGACAGTCAAGGGTAATCGGATGTAAATGGACACATATGTATGCAATAAGAGCTGTATACTTCAGCTAGGGCAACTTGGAATTTGCAAGGCTTCCTTTCCTCGGTTCCCCTCTGCCCTGCATGGGCAAGGCAAAGGATTACTTTGAGGGCTTGTAAACACTTGCCTTGGTAATATCACCATATGGCTAGTAATTGCTGGGTGACAGCAGAGCCACGTTGCCTTGCGTTTTAGAACACAAGGCTTGGTTTTTTTTCCCTTAACTTTAGTGTACAGTACCATTGTGTCTGCCTGGCAGCCCATACATTACACTGCGGTGCTGTGACCTCCAGTGGGAAGTGTAAAAAAGTAGGTATGTCCACAATTTACCACAGCTCACCACGCATCACACCCACATTGTGATGTGAACAGGGCATATAGAAAACTATTTTTGATGTGCCCAACCAGTGACTGACATTGGTTCAGTGCGGAAATGCAAGTCACCGCTGTAAATGTGAACAGGCCCTAAGAAAGTTTTTAAATTTGATTTTGCATTTTGCTTACCGGCCTTTAAAAAAACAGGTAAAAAAAAACAAAAAACAATTCCATGAATATGGAAACAAAAATGAAGTCTCATTATTTTAGCTATAGCCTCCTGGAAGACCACCTCCTCAAACTTTAAAAAAAAAAAAA